ACCCCAACGAAGAGCCACACCACAGCGCTGATGGCTACGTCGTACCGCCGCTTCCAGTCCTTGGCTTTGAACGGCTGATACAGGAAGAAATACCTCTGAATGCTGATGCAGGTGAGGAAACAAATGCTGGCGTACATGTTGAGGTACTTCAAGTAGAAACATAGTAAGCAAAGGAATCTCCCAAAAGGCCACGTGGAGTTAATATAGTAGTATATTCGCAGTGGCAGCGAGAGGACGTGAGCCAGGTCGGCCATGGCCAGGTTGATCATGAAGATGACGGCTTTGTTCTTCTTGCTGATGAAGCGGCACAAGACCCATAAGGCAGCGCTGTTGGCCAGGAGGCCGGGGATGAATATGAGGGTGTAGGTGGTAGCATACAGGCTGTTTTTGAACGTTATATTGTGACTGGAGCAGGACTGGTTGCTCTGCGTCATGACTGGGCTGCTGGAAACAACTGTCGTGGTATAGGGTGGGTGGGTCATTCCTGTAGAGAACAAAAACAGGGGCTGTAAAGGCAAAGGCACTGCAAGAGTTGTCAATATTCACATTTGCATTTCCTATTTGACTATTCAGTACAAAGTAGAGGTTTGGAAATGTCTTCTGTATAAAACATCCTGCTGTCTTCTTCAAAGCTGCCCTTTCAGAGGTCTCCCACTATTCACACAGAGGTGGGGAACCATTCCTGTTGTGCCAGTCCCCTTGCTGGGCTGTCCGAGTGCCATAAGCATGGGTGAAGCTGTGCCATACTGCTAATAGAGGAGTAGGAGAAGCTGCCTATCGTTTTGGCAGCTCAAGGTCATCTGTGGTTTGGTCTCTGGGTAGCAGGGGAGGAATACATGGAAGAAAGGTTGTGCCATAACCCAGCTCCTGCGTGTGAGCAACCACATGGCTCAACGATCCAAATGTGGGTGCCAACCACTGAATCATACCTGCCATTAACGTGTACGTTATTGCGTGAGTGGCATGTCTCCCGATCCCATCAGTGGACCTCATGGACCCACCTTCTCTGGCACGATGGGGACAGGCCGCGTGGAAAAGGGTAGCAGGGAGTGGGCTTGAGGAGTTTGACCGCTGTAAGTGCAGCCAGTGCTCCTGAAGTGTGCTGCCACGTATTTAAGCTAACGTAACAAGCAGAGACCTAATCAGACCACCAACTTCCATTTCTCATCATCCTAGCAGCCTCAGTTTAACACTTTTTGCCATCAGATAATTTTATTTTTAGATGCTTCCAATTTCTGGCTCTCCTTTGATTCAGATGAGTAGGGATGGCGAAATGTCACATACTGAACTGTTGGGCCATCATTTTTTTGTCAGCTTTTGTAACTGGGACTTGTCTTCAGTAAGGCAACATAGGCAGGAGGAGTTTGATTTTATCAGGTATTTCCCCATAGGGTTATAATTCTCATTACAGCGATTCCCTCCTGTGTCTAATACAATGGTTAAAATCGAATATCAGCTTCCTATTTCATGTGGCACTGCAGACACTGATTCATTCCTTCTGACTCATTTCCTGCACCACTGGCAAGGGACATTTGCCAGAAAAAGTGTCTCTGTATGTAGATATTAGTAACTCGTACCCTGTTACTAATGGTTTTTTCCTTCATGTTACAAAAAAAGAGCAGTGTTTGGAGCTCTCAAGTGACAAAGAACACAAATAGCTGTTTTTTCAGCTTGTTAATCGTTGCGGTACTTGGACTTGGCAGTTCGTACAGACACTGTTCAAGGCTGCTATGGAAGGGTTGTAACTCAGGCCCCAGAAATGCCCAGACGTGGCAAGGTCCCAGCATGGGACACAGGCCACCTTCACCGCGGGTGCAGTGGCTCTGGCTGACGCTGATGGTGAGCAGGGCCACCTAACCACAGCTCCTGCAGGCTCCCTAAACAGATCCTGCTGTCAACTTTCTTGCTTTTCTCTTTAAACTTGTCTTTCATTTTCTCACACTCTTCAAAAAGCAACATCTGCATGTTTATCTCCTGCAGCACCCTCAGCTTTAGCAACTGGGCTACATCCTTCAGTTGCACCAAACTTCAAAGAAATGCTGCAGTCAAGAAACCCTGTCTAATCCCCCTCCTTCACCAAGATGGCACGAGTACGCTGAGGCCAGGTGCCTCAGAGCACACCTCCCAGGATGGTTTTGTCCCCCCAGGGCAATCCCTCCAGTCTGCAGTTCACTCCCAGTAACCCTCACCCCAAGCCAGCTCTGGGACAAGATGCTCTGCTCCGTGGTGGGGTGTCCCCAGCTGCCCCCATCCCAGGACACCACAGCCTTGCTCCTATCACAAGGCCAGAACGTGTCCATGAGGAGGGAAGAGGGCTCAAAAGGTGCTGGAAGTGCGGGGGAAAGATGCATCTGGCCCACGACCTTATCTCCACCGGTCTGAGAAGCAACGTTGGAGGCCTCCCGCTCTCCTTTCTGGTGCTCCTCAGGACACTGAGACAGGGAGTGGACAGGGCATGGAGCTGAGCAATGGGGTGTTCACTCAGGGCGTTGCTTCTCAGAGCGGTAAATTTGGGTTACATCCCATTTCTTAAGAGTGCTGTGAATTTCTGGTCCTCAGGATGTTTGTGATCCCTTTCCGTCTGGTTTGTCTGCAGCTCTAGCTGGACATGCTGTCTACTGCCCTTGTCTCCAGTAAGAGCACTGCTCACTACGCCCAATTTCTGCCCCTTCAGGTGACCTCCCACTTTGCCAAGAAGCCATTAAAGAGCCACTTTCAAAGTTACTAGCTGCCTGGTTTTCCTTGGATGTCCAGGTTAGACTGACTGCCGGGTGCTCCTCCAAAACACGAGTGCTAGATGGCCATTGAAACCATGGAGGATTAGGTACATTCGCAAAATGTTCTATTTTAAGGACAAACTTATATTTAAGTGCTGGCCAGTAGACACGTGTTCTTCAGTTCAAATGAGTCATTACAGTCAGTTTGCTTATTGAGGTCCCTAGATACTGTTAGCCCTTATTTACATTTCATGTGACAGCTAAGGACCAGACCACAATGTCAGCAATCAGAATAATCAAGTTCAGGCTGCTGACTCAAACTGGCCTCTGAATGGAGCCATTTTGGGTAAACCGACATGCCCAGGATGTGTCCACTGTAACAGGGGGTGATGCTGAGTGCACACGCTTGATACCAGAATTCAGCCGTCACTTTCTGGTCGCAGCAAGCCGTGCCCGGGCATGCAGACGAGCACAGGGCTGGGCTGCAAGGGCTGCAGCGTACCTGAGACCATGGTGGAGCCCACAGCACGGAGAGGTTCCCTCTCGGCCTTCATCTTCATCTGCTAATTGTCCACAAGGTGTCAGAGTTAATCAAGATTTCATTTTTTTGCCCCCCTCTTTAAGGTATTTTTCTAACACCCAAGGGACTAGGGCTGTCTGAGTGGCAGGAGGCAGAGGCGGTGGTGTGACTATCTTCTAGTGAATTTGTGTTGCTATCTTCTAGGGTGATCCCAAATTGAAAAACTCTTGTGTTGCTGAATAAGTGATATTAGGGGGAAAAAAATGCACCCAGGAGTAGTCCTCCTATTGCTAGTATTTACAGGGAGAAGAGTCCTGAAAAGCTGCACTTTGATGGAGACCAGGGAGCTGCTTTGAACCTTGGAGCCAAAAAGGTTGTAAAACGCAGCCTGTGGAAATGCAGGTGATGTCCCATCCCCACCACCCCGAGCAAACATAACACCGTGATTGATGAACAGGAGACGTATGGCCTGTGGAGTCAGAAAAAGCCTCTCCCTTGCATTCAGTGAACTCGGGGTCAGGCCATTTACAACGAAGTGGACTGAGCAGGATGACCTGGCTGGCAGCGCAAGAGCATTAACACGATTCATATATACATGGGTGACGTCTGCTGGCTCATCAGAACAGGGCACTTTCTGAGAACGAATGACTTCATTACAAAGTCATAAAAATATAATGAGATTAAACCATCTCTTTAGCCAAAATGCACCCAGGCATACGCACAGGGGACTACAAAACAATTGCATTTCTGCCCTTCCTCCCACGTCTCTTGTTCAGATTGAAGCTTAATCCTACACTGTCCCCTTACCTTCCCACCTGTGCACAAAAGCACACGCACAGAGATACCACTGAACGTCGGTCTGAAATTGGGTCCCCAAAGCTGTTAAGAAAGCAGTCATTTGCTGCATGATGTGTGTACAGCAAAGATAGGAGGCTGAAAAGCTCCATCAGATTTTATCGACGCTTATTTGCACAGGAGATGGCTCCTACCTTGTTTTCAGAATATGAAATTTCAAAAAAATTAGTAGTAAATAAATACACTGTTATCTAACTACTGTTTTTTACATTTTAATTAGAGTCTGTATTTCTGAGGCTGTTGCAGTAAGGACATAATTAAGTGTGCACGTTATTACTTGTAGCTGGACATTTGGAAACTAAACGTGGCATTTCCAGAAAAAAGATGTTCATCTTGATAGGACTGAGAAGCACAGGAATGTCATTCCAGAGTCCTGGATCTTTCTGGCATGCCCATCAGCAGACGGGTTAATTAATTTGATTAAAACACAAATGCCTCTACACTCTGCCCTCATTGCATGGCCGTGAACATCTCACACTACTGCACTTGCACTTCGGTGTGAAACCTCCACAGTCAGAAGTGGAAAGTTCTACAGTTAAGGGTGCTTTTTCTGGTTTTCTTCTTCCACAAAAAAGCGCAGATCTGGGTTGTTTGATCTGTTGTGATGAGGTGTTTTCGTTTTGCAACACTAGGCTAATTCTCACTTCTGCAGCTCCGGCAGCTGAAGAAGCAGGGCATGCACGCGCAGCAGGACACCGGCAGCCTCGTTGGAGCGCTTGCCCCAGGCTGGGCGAGGGCTGTCCCGCGGATGCACTTCCATCACGGATGCAGTTCCCATGGCTGGTGATGTTTGCACCGGAGCCAAGGTCCCAGCGCTTTCACTTGACACCAGAAAACATGCCCTTAAACAAAAATCACACTCTTACTTCACAAAACCTACTGCTCCAGCCTGCTGCTGAAGTCCTCTCCTACATAAATCCGCAGCAAGCCAGATTTGACATACTGACTCACCTTCGGTGTGATTCCCTTTTGATTTACTTTAAGAAATTTCAGATTCAGGGGCCACCCGCTATGAAGCCTGTCTGTAATTGCCAAAGTGCATATGTGCCGTATTGCTCTGCTCCCGGCAGTGCTGAGCTGCCGGTGCAAGTGAATGCAAGCCCATCAGTAAGCCGCCTTTTACAAAGTACTGTTTAAAAGCTTCAGTCCGTGAAGTAAGTTAAGTCTTAATCCAGACCAGTGACTGCAGTCTGAATTATGAATTAAAACTGCCTCGGGATTCTCATTAACAAAAACAAGTCCAAGCAATCTTGCTATTTGTGTCATACTGTGTTCCCCTGACTAATATTAATTGCCTACTGCCGCAATTCAGTCAAAGAGCATTGGGTGGCACAAAGACAGGCAGCATGTAGGTTTTTTTTTTTATGGTAATATAGATCACCG